AATATAAACTATAATATATCATAGGGAACTAGGGGATTAGCCATTTTGGATCTAATTCTCACTAACAGAGATGAAATGATAGAAGGTGTTGAAGCCATAGGAACCTTGGGAGGAAGTGATCATGCAATATTGGAATTCAACATTATGGAAGCACAAGCAATAGAACACAGTCAAACTAGAGTCTTGGACTTCAAGAGAGCTAATTTCAATAAACTTAGAGAGGGCTTGGAAAGGATTCCATGGATGAGAATCCTCAAGGGGAAAACAACTCAAGAAGCTTGGGAAATTTTGAAAAATGAGATAATAAAAGCCCAGTCTAGCACAATACCAACAAAGAGGAAAAACAACAACTCTCAAAAGAAACCAGAACTCTCTGACAAATTGAAAGATAAAAAGGACAAGTATAGAGAGCATTAAGAAGGGCACATAACTAAGTCAGAATATCAGAAAATAGCTTGAGCCTGCAAAGATGAAGTGAGGAAAGCCAAGGCTCAAAATGAACTAAGGCTTGCGACCAAAGTCAAAAATAACAAAAAAAGCTTCTTGCAACATGTAAAAAACAAGAAAAAAGTGAAGGAAATGATTGGTCCATTAGTGGGTGAAAGTGGCAAGAAGGTGACAAGCAACAGGGAGAAAGCAGAACTATTTAACTCATTTTTTTGCATTTGTCTTTACACAAAGAGAAAAAAACAACCTATCAAAAATAGTGCCATAAAAAACAGAATAGAAACACAAGTTAAGATAGGCAAGAAAATAGTAAGTGAGCACCTGTCCAGTCTAGATGAATTCAAATCGCCAGGACCAGATGGATTACACCCCAAAGTTCTCAAGGAACTGGCAGATGTGATCTCAGAACCACTGAACTATATTTTTCAAAGATTATGGAGCACTGGGGAACTACCGGAGGACTGGAAAAGAGCTGGTGTAGTTCCCATCTTCAAAAAAGGGGAAAAAATGGACCCAGGAAATTACAGACCTATCAGCCTGACCTCAATACCTGGGAAGATCCTGAAAAAGATAATCAAACAACGAATCAGCGAACACCTAGAGGCAAACAAAGTCATTACTAAAAGCCAACCTGGTTGTGTCAAAAACATCATGCCAGACAAATCTTATTGCATTCTTTGACCAAGTGACAAAATTAGTGGATCAGAGGAATGCTGTGGATATAATTTACTTGGACTTCAGTAAGGCATTTGATAAAGTAGATCACAACCTACTACTTGACAAGATAGAAAACTGTGGAGTAGACAGCATCACCACCAGATGGATCCATAGCATCACCAGCAGATGGATTCATCACCACCAGAAGGCTGACCGGCCATACTCAGCATATGGTCCTCAATGGAACCACATCTACATGGAGGGAAGTGTTCAGTGGGGTGCCCCAGGGCTCTGTTCTGGGCCCAGTGCTCTTCAACATCTTCATCAATGATTTGGATGCGGAGATAGATGGGGAACTCATCAAATTTGCAGATGACACCAAGCTGGCAGGAATAGCCAACGCTCCAGAAGACAGGCTTAAGATACAGAAGTCTGGACAGACTTGAACACTGGGCACTATCTAATAAAATGAAAGTCAATGGTGAAAAAAAGCAAGGTTCTACATTTAGGCAAGAAAAACCAAATGTACAGGTATAGTATAGGGGGTACCTTGCTCAATAGTAGTAACTGTGAGAGGGACCTTGGAGTCCTAATGGACAATCACTTAAATATGAGCCAGCAATGTGCTGCAGCTGCCAAAAAGGCCAACACAGTGCTAGGCTGCATTAACAGAGAGATAGAATCAAGATCACGTGAAGTGTTAATACCACTTTACAATGCCTTGGTAAGGCCACACTTGGAATACTGCATCCAGTTTTGGTCACCGCGATGTAAAAAACATGTTGAGACTCTAGAAAGAGTACAGAGAAAAGCAACAAAGATGATTAGGATACTGGAGGCTAAAATATACAAGGAACGGTTGCTGGAATTGGGTATGTCTAGTTTAATGAAGAGAAGGACGAGTGGGGAACATGATACCAGCGTTCCAATATCTCAGGGGTTGCCACAACGAAGAGGAAGTCAAGCTATTTTCCAAAGCCCCTGAAGGCAGGAGAAGAAGCAATGGGTGGAAACTAATCAAGGAGAGAAGCCACCTAGAACTAAGGAGAAACTTCCTGACAGTTGGAACAATTAACTAGTGGAACAACCTGCCTCCAGAAGCGGTGAATGCTCCAACACTGGAAGTTTTTAAGAAGAGACTGGACAGCCGAAATGATATAGGGTTTCCTGCCTGAGCAGGGGGTTGGACTAGATCAAGGCTTTTCAACCAGTGGTACGGGTACCACCTGTGGTACATTGGCACCTGGCAGGTGGTATGCAACCATCCTAGAAAAGTGGTAGCAGGGGAGGGTAATGAGCTGAACCGGTGGCAGCACCGCACAAGCCTGAGCGAGAGATGGCTGGAGGTGCAGGGCTGTCAGGGCTCAGCGAAAGCACCAGGATCAGCGCCAGGCTCCAGCTGGAGCTCGGTGCTGATCCTTGTGCTTCTGCTGAGCCCTGAAGAAGCACCAATCAGCTGGAAAGCAGCACTGATCCTGGCGCTTCTGCGGAGACCAGAAGAAGTGTCGATCAGCTGGAATGTTGCAGCATCTCCAGGGTCTTCTGATTTACATTCAGATGCTTGGCAACTGATTCATATTTATGATGGTCACAGTGTCCCAGGGTCATGTGAAGTGACCAAAACCTGCTGCAACCACCCAGCAGATGGGGGGGGGAATAAAAACCAAACACCCCCCACCCCACCCCCGCTGCCAATCCTCAACAGAAACGCTCACAACAATGGAAACCTCGGACAGGAGGAAAAGAGCTGCTGGGCGGGCGGGCAGGTGTCTTCCTCGGCTGTGGCTAGGGAGGCACTTTTTTCAGTGCCATTGTAACTTCAAACAGTCACTTAGCGAACTGTTGTAAGTCAAGGACTACCTGTATTTCATCATTTTCCTTTTTTTTTTTTTTGATCATCAAGTTTTTGACACCTTGCTAGGTGACTGGTGGTACTCGGATATTGCCATATCCTAAAAGTGGTACAATGGGTGAAAAGGTGGAAAAGCCCTGGACTAGATGACCTTCAAGGACCCTTCCAACTTTTTTATATTATTATTGTTGTTGTTGTTGTTGTTATTATTATTATTATATTTGCAAAGGGAACATTATTTTCCTTTATAATTCTTTCTTTACTCCAATCCAATGATTTCAAACTTTTAAGATATGTGGATTTCTGGCATGTTGACTGGGAATTCTGGGACTTGAAATCCACACATCTTAAAGTTGCCAAGTTTGAAAAACACTGTTCTAGCCCATCAAGTCAGCTTTGTAAGCCTCAGTCAAAGTAGGTGAGCATTGATCTGGTTGCCTCAACAATAGGAATGCTTCCCTTTTTCTCTCAATGTTCATTACTCCAGCAAAGCCTCCCACTCTCTTTTTCCAATCATGGCCAAACAAAGGGATATTTTTTTAGTAAACAGAAATAAACAAGACAGGGCATTGCATGCCAAAACAACTAGACACAAACAAAGATAGTTTTTCCCCCATGCCATCATTCTGCTAAATACCTAATTCCCACAGCACTGCCTTATGCCTAAGGTTATCTAACCATGTAGTAAGGATGTATTGCTATTATCCTTCTCATCTTCTCATCTTTTTCATCTTCTTATTTTTCCTACTACCTCCATGGTGGCGAACCAATGGCACGCGTGCCACAGGTGGCATGCAGAGCCCTCTCTGTGGGCATGCATGCTGTCGCCCCAGGCTTAGGAGTTCAGCTGGGTTTTATAAAACCTTTTCACTTTAGGCCTCCGCCGTTGTGTACAAAAAAAAAAAGATTCAATCAATCAATCATGGGGGGGGAAAAGATCTCACAAAGTTGGAATTGATTGATTGAACTTTTTAGTCCCACCCAGCCTGCCATTACCACTGCAGCCACATCCACCCAATGGGCAACTCCCACCCGGCACCCGACAATATGTAATTGGGTTTTGGGTTGCAGTTTGGGCACTCGGTCTCTAAAAGGTTCACCATCACTGTACTACCTTCTCCTATTAGTATCTTATGATTTATCACTTGATGTTTATATCTTATGATTTATGATTGTATCTTATGATTTATGATCTATGACCTATCCACTTTGTATGTATACTGACAGCTTATGCAGTGGAGACAAATTCCTTGTGTGTCCAATCACACTTGGCCAATAAAGAATATTCCTATTCCTATTACTGCAAAGATATACTGCATCATTCCAGTCAGGATAAGAAATGTGATCTGAAGGCATAATGAGGCATATTAAAGAACATTTTGACCCAGCTATGTTTCTCCCTCTTCTTGGTGATGTCGGCATGATGTCACTGTGCTGAACTTTCTCCCCTCCCTGCCAATTCTTTGGATTTTGAAGACTAAGAAAAATATCAGCCACAGAGAAAAGTGTGTGATGTCTGTGGCTTCATTTCTTTGAAAAAGGTTCTGTGTCAGGACAATAAGAAAATAGTTTAACTGATAAATAGGCATTTTGTGATCCTTGCAGCCATTTTTGTCAATTAATTTATGATCTGCTCAAAATGGCATAAATACCTAGGAACCCCAAATTGGTATCTTTGGCTTCTTTAGGCCATAGTGAAAGTTTTCAGTGAGTAGTATTTTTGATGATCTCAACAGGAGTACAATAAATCCTGGAGTTTTAAATAGAATGAGCTTGAAGATTGGTTAATTCAGATAGCCCATAGGTATTTATGGCAGCCCATTATATATATATATATATATATATATATATATAACATATGGACATGTTCTCTTTCATACCCATATCCAAATTTCTCAGATTTTGAATGTATTCCTTCTACATTCATTATTATTTTAAAAACTTCTTGACCTTCAGTGTTCAGTTTACAGCTCCTCTTCAAACAAAAAGGGGGGAAAAAGCCTGTTTGATGTTCAGAATTTAAACCTCTCCTTTCTCTCTGCAGACACCTGCATAATAATCAGATCCAGCACTTGGGAATACATGGTTTTGAAGGACTCCATAATCTGGAAACTCTGTGAGTTGCTGGGTTTTCTTTGTGCTTTTATTACTTTTATACAGGGTTTTATGTTTCCTATGCTATTTATTTATTTTTAAATAATTGTTTGATTATGTGCCATCAAGTTAGCACTGATTCATGGAAACTACATACATTTTCTCCAGGACAATATCTGAGCCCAGCCTTGTCCTTCAGATATTCCATAAGGATATCCATCACTACAGTAATTGAGTCTATTAATTTTGCTGGTTGTCTTGCTCTTTATTCTTCTTTCCATCTTTCCCAGAGTTGCAGATTTGTCAGGGAAGATAATGTGTCCAAAATTTGATAATTTATGTCTTGAGTGAGAACCCTGGATTAATTTGTTCTCTGATGCATATTTGTGTTTTTTCCTGATAGTCTCAGAAATCATTTCCAACAAAGCATAAAAGTATCAATAATACTTCCTACCCTGTTTCTTCAAAGTCCAATTTTCACTTCCACAGAGTATCATATGGAAAATCATTGCTTGCATGATTCTGATCCTTGTAGGAATAAATACGTCACAGCACCATAGCATCTGAACATCCATTCCAAGGCCTTCATGGCTCTCTATCAAATGTTAGTCTGCAGCATATTTCTTGACTGGTTCCTTTATTCATGCAAAATCTTTATACAAAACAGGAAGCCACAATTTAATGAAACACAGCAAAACAGACTGATTCTAGGTTGGGAAATGAGTTAAACATAACTATACACTCTCTCCTTACGTTGTTCAATGTTGAATATAAAAGAGAGGCTGAATTGAAAGAAAATGAGCATGGTTTTAAATTGCAAACCTAACAGAAAATTGGGGGGGGAGAGAGATGTCAATGGGCTTGAAACTCTTATGACTGTCATCTGTCTGTTAACATAATAACACTTCAAAACTGAACAGAATAGGATACATCTGGAGTGGCAGGAGAAGCTGGTAAAAGAAAGAGAGGATTTTTAAAAAGAGCCAAATCTAGCCAAATCTTGGCAGAGAAAAACCATCCAGAAAAAAATTCCCCCATGGATCCCTATGGTATAGGCAGCTGGGCACCCATCCAGAATATTGCCAGCCATTCCAGTCTAAACTCACTCCCTCTTCCTGTCGCATGACCCAGGGTGGAGCTGCAATTAAGGGGTTGGAAAGAATTCCAGACATGTTCTGCAGGCTTTGCATATTTCTTTACTATAGCTACCTAACAGTTTTATCATCAGGAGGTTAATAAAGCTGCTTGCTTTTATTAAATCTCATATAATACAATAATTTCATTTTGAGTACTTCCAGAAAGTACAAAATTTTGTACCTTATCTGGTTATGAACTCCTGTGGAGCAAATTACACTGCCATCATATAGAACTTTGAAGGACATCTCAGGAGCCATAGAATCTTATTTTCCCCATCAAGGATGGAAAAGGAGGTCTGCATCTGAAGAGAAAGAGATGCCCCATCTTGAATATTCTCAACCTGCAGAAGAGTCTATCATCCTATCTCCATCAACATCAGAATGTCAACTTGAGGACAGGTAACAGTGGAATGGACTGTAGCTTTCCCTAGAGATGTTGGGAAAGCCCATGAAGCTACAGGATCTGCAGTCACCCTGGACTTCAAAAAAATATCCTGATCCACTCCAGGCCTAGAATTGTTTTAAACATTTCAAAGAGAGGGAATGCATCAAAACAAATGTCCAAGGAGTGGAAAGGAGGGAATGTGGAAATGCCACACTTTTCATTCTTCCTTCCTGCTAGACTTGTCCAAGTTAATCCATCAGAGGATCTAGCATTGGAATTCTTTCTTCGGGGATTATTGTACTAATCCCTGCAGTAAAGTCATTCATTTTAAGGCATACTTGTTACATTCAACCTGAAAGTATATGCTTTGGCTTTGTTTCTTTAAAAAAAAAAAAAACGGGGTTGTGTCCTAATAAGTTATAGAAGGAAGCAGATGCTGGAAGGTAAAGCAGTAGTGCCAGATTGCAATGAGGTCCCTCTCCCACCAGGCATTGCTCTTGTGCAACTATATGGCAAGGTATTTCCCCTATTGCAATCCTTGCCACCAAACCATCTTCTTTCATACGAGACAACAGGAAGAAAGAAGGGAACCTCCATACCTTTTCTCTTTCATGTGGTTTGGCACCTTTTCTCTGGAAGTCATTAGGGAGCCTAGCCAGTTCATCTAGGGAAAGAAGACAATACATGCAAAGAAGAAAGTGCATTGCCCAAGGGTATAATGGTCACAGAGCTAAGCTTTATTCTGGGAAGTTGATTGATTTAAATATGTTTTTGAAATTACCTGCCACAATTTCTACCAAAATTGACATTAAATCACAGAGTTGAAGCTATCAGGTGAAATGGTGCGGAAACAACAAAGCAGAGAAAGAAAGAAACCAAATCTATGGGTGTAGTAATGATAATCATGTGGCATGCAGAAAATGAGAAATAGGTGTTCCAGGAACAGAAGAACATCTGTTAAAAGAAATGGAAGAGAGAACTCTAAAACTACCAAGAAGAGAAAATTTGAGCAAAAAAAAGCATTAAAAATTAAAACAGCAAATAAGAAACAACAGATGGGGAAACTGCCCTTCAACTGATTATAAATTGGTGTACAAATATATTGAAACAGCTGCACTTCTAAATACACAATTCTCTACAGAAAGAAAAGAACATAGGAAGTTGCTCCCTTTTACAGAGTCAGAACATTAATCCATTAGACAAGGGTTGCTGACAAAATTGGTAAACTACAGAGATTTACCAGCTGCAATCTGGAGAGTGCAGAGATTGAATCTGGAATCTTCTGCATATCAGACATTGTTCTAGCTGCTCTATCAAAAAGCTATAGTCCCTCACAATAATATCTACTATTTTTTGCACATGAACACCCTAAAGTAACTGCTTTAGAAAAAGTGAAAAACATTGTGCAGTGTTTTTTTATTAATTGCCTGCTCACATTTTATAACAATGGGTGTATAAACTCTAATCCACTATTTTAAATTGCAGTTCAGACAGTATGTTATCTTCTTCTCCTTCATTGAGTTCTCAATAAGGCAGAGAAATAAGACAGAATGAATAGGCCATCAGTTTTTAACTTAAGGAAGATCTATTCCAGACTGTTCCAACCTGGTACCATGCCAGGCAGCTAGTGTATCATAAGTCTTGAAGTTTAATACATCGGAAGAGAGAGAAAATAGGAAAGCCTATTTTAACCAATTCTTCTAAAACCAAACATGTGATAACAGGTTGTACTTCCCATTAAGTCAGATACACATTGAAAAGCAATAATAATGTGGGTGCTGCCTTTCTCACTGAAAGCTAATAAAATTTCAGAATGATACAATAAAGCAAAATCCTTATGTATTCTGACAATCCCATTAAATTGATAATTTGATTTTAATTTTATTGCATGCCACAGGCAATAAAGGAAAGTTTCTTCTCTCTTTTATTACACGGAAATCTGATATCTTACAATTAAATGAATAGCTGAAAATCGTGACAGACCCAAAGGAAATATTTATTCATATCACACATAATTAAACTATGATATTATGTAGCTACCACAACATGTTACATTCACCAATATGAATGGCTTTTTAAGAAAAACTTTAAAAGCTCATGTCCATCAATGGGCAATAATCATATTGGCTATATTTATCCCAGCATCAGAAGCAAACTGTCTCCAAATGCTAAATGATGAAAAACAAGAACTGAAGACTATACCATGTTTCCCCGAAAGTAAGGCCTACCTTGAAAATAAGCCCTAGCTTGATTTTGGGGGGTGGGCCTAATTTAAGTCCTACTCCAAAAATAAGCTCTAGTTTGAGGGCGAGGCACAGATCTAAATATCAAGCTAGGCCGGGGGTAGGGGTATCTGCCCCACACACCCTGCACCCCTTTACCTTGCAGCCAGACCTCTCCTCGCTGGCCCACTTCTTCTATGGCATCTTCTGCAGCCAGGCCTGCATTTCTCAGTCACAGGCTTTTCCGGAAGGCCACTGCAGCTGAGGACCGAGCTAAGGATTCAATCCATAGCTCAGTTCTGCAAGACCTCTGCAGCCGAAGACCAAGCTATGGATTCAATCCATAGCTCGGTCCTCAGCTGCAGAGGCCTTCCGAAAAGGCCTGACTGCAAAATACAGGCCAGAATGCAGCTGCAGAATGAAGCTGCTCCTTCAGCCCCAGAAGAAGTAGACCTGCTGGGCGGGACTGTTGGTGCTAGAGGTGAGTAAGACATCCCCCTAAAATAAGACCTGGTGTCTCTTTTGGAGGCAAAAAAAATAAGACCCAGTCTTATTTTCGGGGAAACACCCTATTATTGTCCTCTTGGGCACTTCCTATAAGTGTCCGGTTCGGGGGCATTTGGCCTCATCAAAAGCGACATTTAAATTTATCTATTTATTTTCTACCCAGGAAAAAGCAAGGGTCTTTCTTGGATAATTGGAATACTTTAAACATGTGTATATATGTGGAACTTAATTCAACTATATTCCTATACATATTTATTTGTTTTTTTATAAGTCTCACTGAATATGGTATAATTTATTTCTTATTTAAAATCTATATAGCTATGTGGTTAGCATATAACATTATATGAATTGCTAAAGAAAATATGTTAACATTAAGAGAAGAACTTACAGTATAAATGTAAATTGGAGCTATTGGATTGTGAGGATCAGAAATAAGTAATGAATAGATATACTAAGTTTAACTCAGTTTAGAGACAATGGTAATTTCAAGATTTTTTGTAGAAACAAGAGAAATATTTTAGGAGAAACAAAAAACAAGGTAAATATCCTTGTAAGTAATTAAGAACTAGCAATATCAGGATAAGCAAACACGAGGAGCAAAAAAGTCAACTGAATCCAAGCATAAAATATATATCCTCCTCTGCTCCAGTCAGTAATACAAAATTTTCTGTAATCAGCATACATATTTATTTTTTTCATTTATTAAACATGTTTCTGTCCTGCTGCAATCAAACAAGATTCTCAGTGGTTTACATAGAATAAATACTATAAT